CAACAGACACAAACTCTGGCTAATTTTATTACAAAAGAAAATGCACTCAGAGGATATGGGGTAGCTTGCAGAATTTCCAGCTGGTAAATTAAACTTGGAGTTTGTGCAGCCAGGAGCTATACCCTAAATCCCTGGAGAAGCAGTCTAATAGTGAAGATGCTGCTACTGTCCCCTCTGGCACAGTTACAGTAACATGCCTGTCATCACCAACAGTTCTGGACACTGGTCAATGCCACTAAAACTGCAGCCACTGATATCTCTGAAAACACCACAGAGCTGCTCCTTATGCCATTCTCGCCAGCATAGAGAAGGCACGGGACAGGTGTGGTCCCTGCTTCCTCTCATCATCAGCTAGCTTCCATTTAACCTAGGAAGGTGCATCTGATTGGTAGATTTGAGTCACATGTCTGTGCCTCACTGCAAGGGAAGCTGGGAAAGTGAGCGTATTAGTTTTCTGTGGCTGCTGTAACAAATAACCACCAACGAGGTGGTTTGAAACCACAGAAGTTTATTCTCTCACAGTTCTGCAGGCCTCAAGTCCAAATTCCAGGTGTTGGCAGGGCTGCCCTTCCTCTGGAGGTTCTAGGGAAGAATCCTTCCCTGCCTCTTCTGCCTCTGGTGGCTGTCACTATTCCTTGTGGCTATGTCACTCCATTCTATGCTTCTGTCTTCACATGGCCTTCTCCTCTTCTCTCTCTGTGTCTCTCCTCTGTGTGTCTCTTATAAGGACATCTGCCATTGGATTTAGGGCCCACTTGGATAATCCAGGAAGATATCATCTCCAGACCCTTAACTTAATTGCTTCTGCAAAGACCCTTTTACCAAATAAGGTCACATTCACAGGTTCTGGGGTTTAGGATGTGGACATATCTTTTGGGGCCACTATTCAACCCACTGCAGTGAGTATCTGTGTTTTCAGGTTCTAAGGTAGGCAGTGAGCCCCACCTCATTAGATGGGAGATTCCTTAATTATAAGAAGGGGGTTCAGAGGCTGGGAAGTCAGAAAAACATCCAATGTCTTCTAGAACTGAGGTCACAATATTTTTTTAAAGACTTCTTTTTAAAAAGTATTTATTTATTTATTTATTTTGGCTGCACTGGGTCTTGGCTGTGGCACTCGGGATATTCGTGCAGCATGCAGGATCCTTTGTTGTACCATGCAGGATCCTTTGTTGCGGCATGTGGGATCTTTAGTTGCAGCATGCATGTGGGATCTAGTTCCCCCACCAGGGATCGAACCTGGGCCCCCTGCATTGGGAGCTCGGAGCCTTACCCACTGGACCACCATAGAAGTCCCAGTCACAATATTTTTTCAGTAAAAGAGTCAGAGGGTAAATATTTTCAGCCTTGAGGGTCATACAGTTAACTATTCAACTCTGCCCTTGTAGCATGGAAACAGCCATAGACATTCTGTAAACAAATGGGGGGTGCCTGCGTTCGGATGAAACTTTATTTACAAAAACAGGTGTCTGTCTAGATTTGGCCCAAGGGCTATAGATCAATGACACTTGTTCTAGAACATGGTGAAGTGCTTAGTAAGTGTTGATTGAGTCTTCAATCCTCAGTGTGTTTGAAATGTATTGAACACAGAGGATGGACTCAGGACGGAAATTAATAAACAACTAAGACTCATCACTAATGCTCTGTGACCCACACTCTTGAATATGCAAGGGTGAAGAATTGTGGTATCTAACCGCAAAAAAAAAAAAATCCAGTTTGTGAGATTTACCTGTTTTAGAGCCTAGTGCTAAATGTGGCCCACATTTTGAGCCTGGTTTCATATCTAGTGACAGCACCCCTGACCCAGCCGGAGATCTGGGTGCCCGTGATCACAAGGAGGACGAGGGAAGAGTGTGGAGGGATTTACACAAATGAACCGCATCGGAGGAGGCCCGGGGGCAGGAGCCCAGCACGTCCTGCTGGCAACGGAGAGGAGCCAGCAATGCCTCACGAGTGGCGAATCACATGAAATCCAGATTTCTACCTCCCAGATGGTAAAACAGCACAGGAAACAGTGTCTGAAGGGTAAAAGGGCAATGCTGGTGCTTATAGTAAAACAAAACAACAACAAAAAAAAAACATTGGTTTGCAAGGCAGACAGATCCGGGTCCAAGTCTCAGCTCCGCAGTGACCCAGTACAGCACCTGGGAAGGTCTCTTTACCTCTCCAAGCCTCAATTTCCTCATCTGTAAAATGGGGAGAGTTAGATCCATCCCACCCAATGGTTACAAAGATTAAAGGAGACAATTTTCATAAAAATTGTAGCACCCAGTGAATGCTCAGTAACTAACACTCGGTTAGTTCCTGACAAGGCTGTGAGATTAAAAGTGAATTTTTGAAGTCTGCACACCAGAACATACATGGCGAAGTAAGCATGCTCCTTCAAAGGAGGTCCCTGGGAAGCCCGACCCCTGGCCAGACAGGCTGCCCAGACACAGCAGCCCTGGCACAGTATTTCGGGAGCTGGCTGCTCACTAGTCTTCAGCACCTCGGCAGTTTGTCCTGACGTTTCCTCAGAGACAGGCGGGTCCTTGCTCTTGGAGAGTGGACTTGCTTTCTGGATGGAGCCCAAAGTTAAATGGAGCCCGGTCTGATGAACAAGGTAGGAGATGAAGCTGGCTGGGATCGCTCTGGGTGAGAAAAGATCCGTGATTGCAAAATAACGAGCAGGGATGACTTGCATGGCTTGGAGCCTGGCTCTGAAGGAAATCCCTAGAGAGGAGTTCCAAAAGGGCTTTAAGCATTGAGAGCTTTCCTGGAATAAGAGAGTAAGTCCCTGGAGAGATGACTATGGCAGGGGAAACACTTGTTTGGAAAGGCAAGTACTGGGATGTTTGTGGTCTCCGTACATTAGAGTTGTATCTTGTAAGATTCATTCATTCATCTATTCAACATTTGTTAAGCAGTAGGCCCTGTACTAGGCACTGGGTGTGGTGCCTATCACGACTTCATCCTTACCCTTAGATTTAGAGCCACAAACAGACATTATTACAACTCATATAAAGGAGCATCTAGACAATACCACTGTGATCTTTGCAAATGGTGCCTCTAGAGTTGTGCAGTGCACAACCTGTACAAAGGTACATGGAAGCCTTGCTTGAATGGGAGAAAAAATAAGGGTGTGAGTTATATGTGTAGGGTCAGGGAGACACTTGATCTGGATCACTAAGGAGGTAAAGGAGTTTTCAAGGCAAAAGGGGTGGGGAAAGGGAAAACCAGACTCAGGAACACTGTGTACCAAAGCACCACGAGGAGTACAAGGTGGGTTCTGAGAATGCTGAGACATCTGGTGGATTTGGGGAGGAGGCAGGCTGGGGCTGAGGGGACTGACTTCCTGCACATGAGTCAAGATCCCCCAGGAGCTTCTGGGGGAGTCAGAGAGGCCCATGAATGTCAGACATTCCATTCCTCTGAGTTGGCCTCATGGCCTCTGCCTGAGGGAAAGATGCAAGAAAGCACACTGGCCTTGGTGTGGCACAGATCAGGTCTGGATCCCAGCTTTGCAGCCTGTAGGCTGTGTGTTCTCCAACCAGTCACTTAACCTCTCTGAGCAGGAGTTTCCGAATCTGCAAAGTGGAGGTCATACTGCTGGGAGTTGGGGGATTCGGCAAGATTCGAAGTCAGAGATGAAATAGGTGTCGTAAAAGTTATTTTCTTTCCTCTCCAAGTTCTGGTCTCTGTCAACTTTTGTTTAGGGGACAGAAACCAATACTTACGGTGCTGACAGCACCAGCCCTCTGTAGGTTGAGCAGGTAGGAGATTATTCTCTTTAGGAAAGTCTCCCTCGATAGTTGGCCCATTAGCATTAGTGAGCATTTTCTCTGTGTTTAGCACTGCCCTTGCTCCTCAGTGGTTGTTTAAAATGCAAATCTGCCCCTTTGAGTCCCCAGTGCTTGGGGGTAAAAGACGTTTACCAGCGTGTTCCATCTACCCCTGAGTGGAAGGGTGGGGCACAGAGAAACGTGGGTTCCACATCTCACCAGAAAGGGAGGAGGTGGGGATTGCTTCCCCTCCTGCCCCCAGAGATAGCAAGGAAGCTCCTGGGATTGCAGTTTGAAGGAAGAAGGAAAAGATCCCCAAGGGCATATGGAACCCACCCCACAGCTCCCTGCACCATATCGTGTGGGGTGCATTGTGTGGAGTCCTGCAGACATCCCGCATTCCCTGGGTCAGCTCTGTGCGCTGGGCTGGGACTGTAAACACCAGTGAGCCCTCAGGGAGTCACAGTCTGGCTGGGAAACCAAAGTAAACAGATAAGCAAGGCACAGGCCAAGGTGATGTTGTAACGGTAAGCGGTAAGCGTGACGGCTACCTGGTACTGAGCATTTACTGAGTCTGGCCCTGTGCGAAGAACCATGTTACCTATTATCTCCACCTTCAGGTGGCTATTAGGAACCACATTTTGTAGATGAGGAAACTGAGGCTCAGAGGGGTGAAAAATGCCTTGCCCAAGGTCAGAAAGGTAGCAGGTGGCAGAGACTACAAAACCCAAGTTCTCCACTGCTATGTTATTTGGCCGGAACAGGAAAATCGGCCCACATGTCTGAGTTCAAGTGAGGGATTTTCCTCTGTTACCTTTCATTGCCTTTCACTGTAGCATCTTGGAAACAAAACCTGCCAAACCTCTATTGTCTCATTCATGATGAGGGAGGCACCAGAAACCCTCAGAGGTCCCCTCTTAACCACAGGATTCTTCCCAAGACACCCACCCTACTGCAATGTCTTCCCTTCTATGTGAGTGAGGGTCTAACATGGGAGAGAGAGAATATGAAATAAGAAATACTGCAACATAAAAATATGTATGAAATAAAGCCTCCCTTTAGGTGCAAAATGTGGAATCATGCAAATCTTCCCAGTTTAAAAAAAAGGCATCAGTAATTGCATCATTTCAAAACCGAATGGCTTGAGTGAAATTTAACCGGTGGCGCATAGCGGCCATGTGTTAGAGACATTTTAATGGATATAAACAGACAGGCTCGCCACCCCTTTCAGGGCTATGCTTGAATCCGTTGAGGTTTTAATTATGTAAAGATTTTCAAGAATACATTCCTTTTAAAGCTGTGACCTCCCTCATGACTGTTGGTACATGTATATAAAAATATGTAACCCATATAAATTATGGCTTCCCATATGGCTCCTTCTATGACTTAGTTGCATGCAAAGAACTGCCGTCTAGCTATCAAATAGTAATCAAATCCTTACTGTATGGAGTCCAAACCCCACAGCAGCACCAAATGCAAGTTGTCCCCTCCTTTCCCCCATTCTCTCATCCCCCATTCCAAACTCCTAAACTCCAAGACTGCATTTGCTCTCTCATTTTCCCAGCTCTTAGTTATGTAGATGAAAGAAGTTTCTCTACAAGGTCTTTTCCCCCTTCCTCACTTGTCCCATCCTGTGTCTGTATTGAATGGAGATTCTCCTGAGTCTACAGGGTTAAGGACTTAGACCTGGGCTGGCAAACACTCTGATGGAAGAAAGGGAAGGAGGTAGAAACACCAGCACTGGAGGTTGTAGACTTCAGTCCGTGATCACCCCTTAGTCTTATCTCTTTGCACTCTCCCCTGGGCCCCACTATACTTTGCTGACAGCCATTCCTGGGTAGGGGTAATTCCCCAACACGCCCACCGCCCACCCTAGGCTGCCCCCTCTGCCTGGCCTGCCCATCTGCTCCTTCTTCATGAGTCAGCTCTTGCATGGTCTCTTCTATGTCCCTTCCCCAGTGCCCCCAGCCACACTTAGCCCCTCCTTTCTCTGGAGTCCACCCACATTCTTGACAACCACCTGCAAAGGTTTGTTTATAGTTCAGTTTTATGTCTAGGTGATGAGCTCCCAGAGATCAAGGACTAACTCAGTTTCATGCCTCGATCCTCAGCACTGAGCCCTGCATACATAGTAGGTGCTCCATATATATCACTACATAACAGATGCCCAAGAAAGGCTTTTGGAATCATGCAGAGTTGAAAAGGAGAGTGAAAACGAAACATTCCAAGCGTAGGGACTGATATTCCCCTGGCAAAGGCGTAGCCAAGGCTGACTGCCCAGTTCCTCATTTGTAGCTCTCTTGTACATTCTGGGTGAGTAAGCAGGCACCCTTGGTGTGCTCTATCTCCAAAGATGGCTGAGCAAACAAATCCCATCTCACATGCCCTTTTGCAGTCAGCATTGCCCCTGCTCCCATCCAAAGGCAGGGTTATCTCCCCTCTGATTGAATCAGGGCTGGCCTCAGAATAGAACACAGCAGAAGTCAGGCTGGTCAGCTTCCAGCCCTCAGCCCTCAGAGGCCTCGCAGCTTCTATTTTCACCATGTCAAGAAGCCCAAGCTATCCTGCTGGAAAGGCCACACGGAGGAAAACCAAGCACCCCAGCTGACAGCCAACACCAACTACCAAACAGATGAGGGAGGACATCTTGGATCTTTTAGCCCCAGCCAAGATCCCAGCAGAGTGCAGCCACATAAGATGAAGAACTGGGCCCCATCTGAATTCCTGATCCACAGAATCATAAGCAATAAAATAGCTGTTATTTTAAGCCACTGTGTCATGGGATGGTTTCTTATGCAGCAATAGATAACTGATACATTAAGTTTTTTCTGAGTAAGCAAACAAATTGGTGGTGGGGGGTTTTGTGGCTTCTGAGCTGGGAGTTAGAGAGGGTATGACTAGAATTCAAGCTTTTCTATTTGTTTTTAGCTTTAAAATATAGAGGCACCCCTTAACCCAGTGATCACAGTTAACCCCATCACCAGAATGGGGCAAATTGTTAAGGAGGCATTGAGAAGAATGCAGGACATTTCTGTGATCGTCCAGTTGAAAGTGTATAACCTGAAAGTAATCATGAAGAAATATCTGACAAACCAAAACTGAGGGGCATTCTACAACTAACCGACCACTTCTCTTAAAAATCGTCAATGTCTTCAAAGACAGAAAAACTAAGGAACTCTTCTAGATTGAAAGAGGCTGAGAGATATGACAACCGAATGCCATATGGGGTTCAGAGCTTCCTTTTGTTATAAAGGACATTCTAGGGACAAATGGCAAGATCTGAATAAAGTGTGTAGATTAGATTATAATGCTGTCTCAGTGTTAATTACCTGATTTTGGTAATTACATTGTAAGATATCATATTGTAAGAGAATGTCATTTGTTTTTAGGAAATACGCACTGAAGTATTTAGAGGTAAAAGAGGTGTTCTGTCTGCAGCTTACTGTGAAACGGTTCTGAAAAAAAATACATCTTTCTCTCCTATATATCTATCTAGAGAGAAACAGAAAAGAATAAAGCAAATGTGATAAAGCATTTACATTTGGAGAATCCAGGTGAAGGGTATATGGGAATTCTTTGTACTGCTCTTGCAACTTTTTTGTAAGCCCAAAATTATATTCAAATAAAAAGTAATAAAGAAAAAGAAAGAAGCAAATTGTGGTGGGCGCATGGTTGCCCCCAAAGAGGAAAAAGTGATCCCCTCTGGGGGCAGAACTGTCCCTGGAAATGCCTGACTCCGAGCTGACTTCTGCTCCTTTTCCATCTCCCTCTCACGGCACGCAGGGGACAGGGAGCCACCGGCCAGCCTGGGCTACCGCTAAACTCACCCCCCCACCCTCACTCACGCCCAGGGTTCTCTGAAGGCAAGGCTGGGTTTTGGACTGTTCACAGCGAGAATCCACAGGATCTGAGGGGACTGCTAGGGAAAGCTTTCCCTGGGAGCTCCCGGGAGCCCACGGCCATGGAGTCACAGCTCCGCCTTCCTTGCCCATCTGGATTTGGAAGATTCCAATCAGAGCCACAAAGTAGAGGATAATGGAGATGAGGGGCTAGAGCAGCCGCCCTCTGTCAGGAAGCGTTACTGAGAGCACTACCTGGGGTGGTCTCGCTGTTTTACCTGCCAGGGCCAGGCAGGGGTGAGAGGATCTTTATGGCCCAGAAGAAGGGCAGCGTGGATGGCATTGGGATCCGGGCCAACCGAGGCTCCCAGGCTAAGCAATGCCAACCGGGCATGTTTCTGGGCAGAGCTTCCTTCCGGAGGGGAGCTGGCTGAGCAGGAAAGAGCCAGGAGTTTGGAATCTGAGAGAGCCGGGAGGGCAGCCTCTGACTCACCCCTTCCTGGTTGGGTGACACTGGCGGGGAGACATCTCATAGTGCTGGGTGAAGGCCCCCATCTGCAAGGGAAATGATCAAACACACATTGAGATGTGAATGAAGTGTTAAGACAGTGCCTGGCACAAAGGAGCATCAGAGCTTCAATTCCACCCACGCTTACAGAGCACAGACTCAGAGCCAGGCACAGTGGGGTGCTTGAGGGGCTGTGCTCTGCACCTCTGACCCCGAGAATGGACACAAGGCCCTCCCCTCTTGCCCCTTCACACTGATCTTCCCCCTCTTCCATGCCAGCATCACCACCAAAGCCCAGGTGCTAGAGGGTTTCTGGGTTCAAATATGAGCCTCTCCTCTGAGTGACTAAGTTATCTAACCTGTATGTGCCTTGGTTTCCCCACTTGGAACTGGGCACAGTAACAGCATCCACCTTTTAGATTCTTCTGGCTATCAGCTGAATCCATCCTTGCAAACTAAATAATAGCAGTGAATGCTCGTATAGCAGTTATTACGTGCCAGACACAGATCCACACTTTTTATTAGTATCTCCCCCATTTCAGAGATGAGGAAGGTGAGGCACTGAGATACTGCATAATTTGTCCACAATCACAGAGAGAAGAGGCAGAGCTGGGATCTGTGTTCCTAAGCCCTGCTGTCTCCTGCCATGGGCATACAGTAAGTGCTCAATTCACGCCTGCTGTTACTAATGCTCTGAGACGGGGCCAGCTTCACCGATGCACCACCCGCACAGTTCCACAGGGCCTGGCACTTAGAAGGGTGACGCTTGTTAATGCTCTGTCGCTGTCTTGAAATTCTCAATAACTGTAACAAGGGGCCCCACATCTTCATTTTGCACTGGACCCCGAAAACTCCGTAGCTGGTCTTGCTCAGAATCTTATAGGAGGTGACCACCTCCTCCTCTTTCTTCCTCCCCCACCTAGACTGTGAGGTACCTTATCTCTCCATCCACCCTACTCCATGTCTGGCAGGTAGCAGGTGCTCCCCTTCTGGCCGAGAGGGACAGAGGTGGCCAGAGTCACAGCTGTTGTCCCCACCCCTACTTCCTCTCAACACCCCAAAAAGAGCTTCCAGCCCAGGGAACCTCAGGAACTGTCAGGGAAGAAACTTTTCTTGAAGCGTGCAGGGACTCTGGCCAGCGGCCGCCAGAACCAGGTCTTTCCTGAATGGCAGGGGGAGGGAGGTGCAGCCAGAAGACACTGTAGCTCACTGCAGCTGGGGAATCCCAGCCGGCCCGAAAGACCCTAATAAACAGTTAATTATGACGCTGGCTCTGTAAACAGTGGCAGTGAGACCCAGCATAATGTGTAATTATGCCGGTTGGAGCTGGAGCTGGGCAGCGTTTTCTCCAGCAGTGCTGGAGGGAATGCAGATCTCAGGGCAGGCTTGTGGTCAGGGCACAAAGGTAAACAAGACCTTCCCTAAAGGCAGACGGGACTCAGTCCAAATGTTCAAGTACGGCAATGACGGTGGTTAAAAGAATTATTTTCCTTTTTATAAAGGGAGCAGGCAGTGGGGAGGGAGAGGGGAGGAACAGACATTTGTTCAGCACCTACTATGTGTGAGACTTGGTTTGGGGCCAGGCAGGAGGGGGCTTGGGCATTTCTGGGACTGGATGTCATGCCCCTCCCCTCCCTGCCTGCCTGCCCTCACCTCCTCCACACACATTTCTAACAACTGATATTTTAAAAATTGAGGTGAAATTCACATAACATAAAATTAACCATGTTAAAAGTGTACACTTTGGCGGCCTTTAGTACATGCACAACTTCTTCTTCATTAAATTGAAACTAACACGGTTTAGTTAGTTTCAGATGTACAGCTAAGTGATTCAGTTATACATATATATAGTTTTTCCTATTCTTTTCCATTACAGGTTATTTCGAGACATTGAAAATAGTTCCCTGTGCTGCACAGTAGGCCCTCATTGTTTATCTTATATACAGTAGTGTAGTACATTCACAGTCTTCTGCAACCATTATCTCTATCAAGTTCCAAAGCATTTTCATCACCCCAAGAGGAAACCCTGTACCTGTTACTCACTTACCCCCCTGGCCACCACTAATTTCCTTTCTGTCCCTATGGATTTGCCTATTCTGGACATTTTATATAAACGGAATCATATCACACGTGACCTTTTGGGACTGGCTTCTTTCATATTGCCTCATGCTTTGAAGGTTCATCCACGTGGCAGCATGCATCAACACTTTATTACTTTTTATGGTCAAATAATATTCCATTGTCTGGATATGCCACATTTTGTTTATCCATTGGTAGATATTGGGTTGTTTCTACTTTTTGGCTTTTATAAATAATGCTATGAACATTTGTGGACAAGTTTTTGTATGGTCATGTTTTCAGTTCCCTTGGGTGTGTGTGTATATATATATATATATATATATATCTCATTACCTAGGAGTGGGATTGCTGGGTCATAGGGTCACTCTATATTGAGCTTTTTGCTGCTTTCTATGGCACCTGTACCATTTTTCATTCCCATAAGTAATGCACAAATGTTCTGATACCTCCCCACCATTGCCAACACTCTTCTTTCTTTCATTTTTAAAATAATCACTGATTTCTCATGGGGGCTGAGGTAAGCTCCTGTCTGCCACTGGGGCTGAAACACAGAGCCATGTCTTCTGGAATTACAGGAAAGCCCTATAAAGGCCAGAGTGCAGGACGAACAATTTGGGTCCCCCCAGAAATAATTCATCACACAGAAAGAGACAGATAAAAACAGCAGTTCCAAGCTACACCAGTCCTACGGGGCCTGGTGATGATTTCAACATGGCAAGCTGCCCCCAGGTGCCATGTGGGTGCCATGGGGGGAAACGGCTGTGTGTGACTTGAGAGATAGCCTAGACCCTTGGAGCCTAGCCAGCTTTGCCACGGACACCTCTGCCTGACTGTCACTGAGGGAGGCGATGTTTTGCCAGCTCTGCCAGAGCACTGATGGCCTGAGGGACCTGGCACAGGGCAACGCTGACAAAATGAGGGGCCACTCGGGTACTGGCAGGTGGTGGGAACAGGGCCAGCTTGTGTGAACAGTCACATGACTTCTCCCACCCGCGAAGGAACCAAGAACAGCCATGCCTTGCTTCATTGTGCGTCGCAGATACTGCATTTTTTAACAAATGGAAGGTTTGTGGCAACCCTGTGTCAAGCAAGTCTATCGGCGCCATTTTTCCAACAGCATTTACTCACTTCCTGTCTCTGTCACATTTTGGTAATTCTCGTCATATTTCAAACTTCGTTATTATTATATATCTATTATGGTGATCTATGATCAGTGATCAGTGATCTTTGATGTGACTAAAGGGAAAAGATTACAACTCACTGAAGGCTCAGATGATGGTTAGCATTTTTTAACAGTAAAGTATTTTTTAGTTAAGGTATGCACATTGCACACTTAATAGACTACAGTATAGTGTAAATGTAATTTTTATATGCACTGGGAAACCAAAAGATTTATGTGCCTCGCTTTATTTCAATATTCACCTTATTGTGGTGCTCTGGAACGAAACCCACAATATCTCAGAGGTCTGTACTACTGCATCATGCTTGCAAGGGAAGAGAACCAGAAACATTTGGCAAACAGCACTGGTGACTCCCATGTGTAACTGACTGCAAATAATGTATTGTTTATAACGTATTGATATGTAAGTAATAATTACAGTGGTGTTTATGAATGCTTTCTATGTACCATAGACTGAGCTAAATGCATCATTTCATGAATTCTCACGGCAATCCTGGGGTGTAGGCATTATGACCTCTAATGATTCTCGTCTGTTATTTAGGATGCTTTAGGCTGCAAGTTACAGACAACACAACTTAGGCTCAAATGGCCTTAAACACTACAAGTCATTATTTCACATAATAAGAAATCCGAGGAAGGGCACACTCTGGGCGTGATGCTCGTGGCTGCATGATATCCTCAAGGTCACCATTTCTTCCCATCTCAGACTTGACATCCTCAGGGTTGACTTCGTCTCAGGCTGCAGGATTTGCAATGTCACCGTGATTGTCCAGCATCACCTTCTTATGAGGGAGGAGGAGTTTTCCCAGAAGCCCCAGCAGACTTTCCCGCGTGTCTCCTTGGTTGTCATTGGATCACATAACCACTGGGGAACCAATCACAGCAAGAGAAATGGGAGCCCCATGCCTGACATCCTCACTTGGGTAGAACAGACTTTGGGGAGGTGGGAGGGGTGGGGTTAAGCACGGTGAACAGATCCAGGGTTTGAACCCGGAGCTGCCTTCCTCTTGACCTCCTGGATATTCAGGAAAGCAGCCCTGGCAAGGGTGGTCCTGAAACCTCCAGCCCAGTCACTCTCCACTCCTGATTTCCTTTTTAGCCATGGTTTCCAGCACCTGGGCAACATCCTCCTTCAGTCCCCCCTGCCCCCCACGTCCCAGTGTCCAGCCAACCAGTGACCCCACACGTCCATTCCAATCAGCCAGCCCAGCTCAGAGCCAGCCAGAGAACTTTCCGTCCTGCTCCTGATCATGTGTCCACCCGCATCAGCCTTTCCTGACTGCCCGCAGGGCTGAGGCCTCTCAGAACTGCTCCTGTGCAGTCAGACATATCTGGCTGATCAGCAGTTCTGGGCGGAGGCCAGCAGGGGCAAGGGCCTTTTGGATCCTGTCTGTCCACATGCATCAGCTGTTCCCAGCCAGCGGCTCCAGCACTGTTGGGCAACACGGCTGGGCCTGGCCCCATCAGTGGAGGGGGCCATGAGATTAGCACCCTGCCTCTCTCGTTTGGGAGGCTGAAGCCTGAGATTGGGCGAAGGTGATGGACAATGGCGGTAAGGGTTTGGGAGGAGTGAGAGGAAGGAAGTCAGAGGAAGAAAAAAAAGAAGAGAGAGAGAAACACCAGGAGATTCTGAGACAGCAGAGACCTCATCTTGGTCCGGTTTGCATCCACAACACCTAGCAGGGCGCCTGGTACAAAGCAGGGAAGAGTTGGTTCAACCGGCCTGCGAAACAGAAGAGAGAGACAAGATGCTGAGCGAGGAGGGGAGGGACGTGGAGAGAGACACAG